GTGCATGATCTAAAGTCCGGTGTTCTAACACAGTACATACATAGGTAAATTTGTGTAGGCGCTGAAAAAATGCTTACTTAAGGGCGAAGTGAAGAAAGAGTCTGAGGGAACTTTCCGACTTCACACAGACTAGATGCTCGAAGGGAAGTGGAACTACCAAGTTTTCTGCAATAGCACTTCTTCAGCCTGGATTGTCTAGCGACTTCCTCACGGTGCCAGCTGGGTGGTCGGCGATTACCCCGTTCCCGTCAATGGTTCGGCTGCAGTGTGTCCAGGAGAAGGTGAGTTTGGCCTGGATAGCCCTTTTCCTATAAAAAGCCACTAACCGTTTAACATCACTGTGACGTGGCACATATGACTCGTCACTAAATACAATCACCGCCTCTTGCTACACGCTGGTGGAGCAATGCAAATCCAGCAATGTGATGCTGAAACCGTGGGAAGAATGGGGTCCCTGTTTGGCAAGCGTCCAAACGAAAGGCACATGGACTGCGTAATTGGTCACCGCATCCCAATGGCGCGATTCCCTGAAGTTGCTCCGCTAACTTGCGGGTAGGCTATTCAGCCAAAGACCCGGGGTGATCCCGTAAGACATCGCCATAACTCGGCTTGAGCAACCGCGTAGTATCTTGCCCGCTGATAGATCCATGTATCACGCAACTACTACTATTGTCGTTCTCTTATGCTCCTGCGTTTTCACTGTTTATGCACCTCCATCACATGCCTATCCCACGATCATCATTAATTCCTCTGGATCTACCTCTGATGACAGTCTCTCCCAAGTTCCATGAGTCCGACCAGTGGCACTCCTTTGTCCTCGATCTCCATAACGGATCAAAAGAAAATTCGACAAGAAACGCCTACTGAAACATCATAAAGCACGGGGCACTGGTGTTTATCTTCTGCTCTCTTTAAAGATGGCGACTATTCGCTGGTCCGAAAACTCACTGCTATGTTTTCAGAAGTCTGGTTGAAAGAGGAGGTTCCATCATCTTGAAGTGAGTCCATAGTCGACACATTTTCAAAAAAGCCTGCGCACAATGTGTTCCAACTACAGATGTACAAATCTGATTCCCTTCGTCTGCAATCTCCTGGTGTCCATCATACTTCACAGATTACCGCCAATGAGTGAACCACTACAGCGGGAAGAATATACTGGGTTCCGCCATGGTTGCTGCTGCATCGATCAAATTTTCACACTACGCCCGGCCCTAGAGCTGTCATGTGTACCAAAAGCGAACGGTTGTCGTGTTCCTGTATATCACGCTGCCTTCGATTCTGTCGACAGGACCGCATCGTCGCACTGCCTGCTAAGGAATTGCATCCCCTAGAAGTTCCTTTCAGTATTGCGTACAGTCTACGGTCTGACCACAGGTAAATTTAAGGATTATGGCAAGCTTAAGCCCCCTTTGTTGTCACCAGTACTGTTCGACTAGGACGCCCTATCTCACCATTGCTCTCCAATTTTGCCATTGAGAATATGTTCATAACTTCTCTAGCAGACTCGGTAAACGCTGGAGTTGAGCTCCTCGCAGGTCGTTGCGTAGTTGACCTAGACTACGCTGATGATCGTCTCGCTAGGTGACGATCCACAGGTCGTCCAACTTGCACTTAACCGCCTGGTGATTGCAGAGTCGAAGTATGGCATGCACTTTTCATCATCCAAATTCAAAGTACTTTTCGATACTAGCGAAGCTTATACCTCTCCTCACTCTAGGTGGTGAGACAGTGGAGGTTGTGGAGAGTTTCGTCTACCTAGGAATTTGGATCACTGCTGGTGGAGTCGTTAAAAAGGAGATTTCGATGCGTAGCTCAAGAGCTCGTTCCTTTTTCTTTAGACTGGCATTTGTGGTGCCGCCATGATATCCAGTTCTACATCAAAGTGCGGGTTTATTGTTCGACTGTTCGCGCTGTACTCTTGTGCGGTTGAGAGACGTGACCTGTTCGGAACGTTGGCATGCACCGGCTGTCTGTCTGCGATCACCGTTTCACGCAATCCATTACCCGTCTGTGTTGGCCGTATCAAGTAAACAATGCATCTTGAGAGGAAACAGCCACTAGCTCGGGTAGACTGTTTCCGTGCGCCAATTGCGGTGGCTCGGTCACCTATTGCTCAAGACCGCTCAGCACCATCCGCTCTGTGCGTTGTTCACGGTTGCTGGGCAGGGCTAGAGGAGGCGGCGCGGTGGACAGGCTACGACTTGGAGAAGCGGCATGAAAAAGCTAACGAAACAATTGGCATCGGTCGATCATTCTCGACTCCCTGGGTGGGGTCGCAGAGATACCGAGTGCAGCTGGTTGGAGATCTTGGAAGGCCGACATCAGTGGCGGATGTCAATCACCTTTACCTCCCTTAATAAAAGTAACTGACAAAAAACCTAAAACTGTGAGTGCAGTAGTGGACAAAATATGTTGCCAGTTATTTTCATTTTTTATTCCGATCCTGTTTTCCGGTTCCACCATGATTCCAAGGACACAATATCGGTGATTAAATATTACATGAAATAATGTCCCTTTCGGGTGGCGACATTCACTTTAGAAACATCGCTCAGATCGGACAACAAGCCGGGCTAGCGTGCACTTTGAAATCCCTCGCTATTGATGTCAATTGTCTTTCTGAGACTCGGCCCGTAGCCTAAAGGTAACAAGCTTGTCTTGTAATCTGACGACGCGGGTTCGAGCCTGCGTAAGGGCAGGGCGACCCTAGCAGTATTCCTAGCCCATATGCGGCCGGGTGGTGGTTGCGCTACAGCGGAGCATCGATACTGGGTACCGGCGTACTGCTGATATCTCTCTGATGCCTCGGTTACAGGACTACAGCACCGTACTTCAGTTGTCAC